GCTGTGTGACATCTTTAAGGGGCCTTTTATATGTGTAATTAGAGTCTTCAAAGAAGAGCAGGAGGAGCAAAACATTTAAAAAAACATTAGCCAGAAAATCCTTACATTTTATCAGAACTATAAATCTACAGATCCAAGAAGTTCAATGAGCCCAACCACATGAAAAATGAATAAAACTAAGCAAAAGCACATCATAGACAATTGTTCAAAACTAGTGATCAGAAGAAAATCTTAAAAAACAACTCAAGGAAAATCACTATTTATAGAAGATTGCACAGAGTGTCAGCAAACGTATTGGAAACAATGCAAACAAAGGCTGTAGAATGGCATTCTTGAAGTTTCTAGAGAAAAAAACTAGAACACTATACTCAGAGGAAATGTCTTTCAAAAAATAAAGGTGCTACAGACATTGTCAAAAGTAAACAGGTGAAAAGAATTCATGGTTAGCAAATCCACTCAACAATGAAGTCCTTTAGGCAAAATATATATATATATTTTTTTGAGATCCAGATCTACAAAAAGGAACAAAAAGCACCAGAAATAATAACTACTTTGGGCACCAACTCAGCAAACCCAGTGAGATTTCTCACGTGGAATGAGAAAAGCTAATTAGGTAAAGTTCTCCAAGGTCTGACTCATGGTGAATAAAGCTTTACTCATTTGAAGATTCTTGAACATCTGCTTTGAACATTCTTGTAAATCTCTTTTTATGAATTTAATATGTAAATTTCAGAAGCTGTGGAAAACTTGTCATTTTTAGTGAATAGCAAAATGTTTTGCTCTGAATTTACACTGACCACATACTTCCTGGTAACAAAAGACTAACTCACATTTACTTATTTGTTTGTTTGTTTGTTTATTTATTTAATTGAGGCCACAAAGTTGGCATAGTTTCTTGGTCTTTTAAAAAAAATATTTATTGTTGAGAGTATTAGAGATGTCTTCCGTTTTTTCTCCCCATTACCCCCCTCTACCTGGTTCCCACCCACTCTAGGCCTTCACCATTATTGTCAGCATTATGATAAGCAAAATAAGCCAGTCAGAGGAAAACAAATATCACCTAATCTCACCTTCATGTGGAATTGAATGAACAAAATAAGCTGCTGAATAAAATAAAACCAGAGGGATGGGAACATGGAACAGACTGAGGAATCTCAGAGAGAAGTATGGGTGGGTAGAGTGGGCAGGAAGAGATTAACCAAATAATATGCATATATGCTAACTCACATCTTAAAACCTCCCTTTTAATCAATAATTCTGGGAACAGGATGCAGTGAACTAACATTGGTCAACTCACAAAGAAAAGCAATTTCTTTCTATAATATTGCAATCTCAAACTTGGAGCTGGCACTAGACATATGAAAATATTCAACCTCACTGGCAATTAAGGAAATGCAAATCAAAACTATGAGATACCACCTCACACCTGTTAGAGTGACCATTACCAACAAGACAAGCCATACTATTTTTAATGGGAAAAATGATAGAATAAAATAATTATTTTTGCAAATCATATAATAATTTAATATCTGCCTATAGGTCATTCTATTAATTCTGAATAATGAATAATTTAATTTAGATAGTAGTCTTCCCTAATTTCTTTGCCATTTATGCAAATTTCTCGAGTAGACACTCTCTCTAATGACCAGTCCATTGAACTCAACTTGCTTATTTGGATACTATTGTCTTAAACTCTGTGGGTACCAAACTTTTTTGGATCTCCTTTCTTTCAACTCTTAAAAAATACTATAGGATCAAACTCCTCTTCCATACTTCATGTTAATGATTGGTTAGTGTTTGGCATACTTCCATCCTTTAATTACTGTTCTCATATGTCCACTTTTCCTATCGACTATCAACCACTCCCAGAGCTTCAGGTAGCACATACAACCTGGAACCTCACAAACATGTATGTCCCCAGTGCTTCAGATAAACATGTCCAGCAACCTCCTGCACATACTTAAAAGGATTTTCCATGGTTATTTGATACTAACACTAGAGGCCCAGTGCATAAAATTGGAGCATTCGGGAAAGAGTTCCTCACCCTAGCCTGCCCCTTCTCACCGTCCGGGAGCCCTCAGGGGATGTCTTACTGATGGCTTAGCTCCTCTGTAGGAGGCGACCAGCTGATCAGAGGAAGGCGGCACCTCTAGCACCTCCCAGCTGCTGCCACTGCAGGACACCGCAGCCACCAAAGTGTTTTCATCAACACAGAGTCCAGTCCTTTTACCATGAAAATACGACAACTTTCTTTATCATTATCAAGATGTCTCTTCATAGGATATGATATTGTCTTCTTTATTATTTTTTTATCCTCTCCTGAGAATATGTTTTCATTGATTTTTAGAGAGTGTGGAAGAGAAAAGGAAAGACAGAAATAGCAAAGTGAGAGGAACACTCATGCCTCCTGCATGAGGCCTGACCTGGGCCCCGGCCAGGGAGGAGCCTGCAATGTAGGCACATGCCCTTGGTCACAATCGAACACGGACCTTGTGGTCAGCAGGCTGAGGCTCTATCCACTGAGCCAAACCACCTAGAGCAGGATGTGACATTTCTTAGCCCCTCAAGCAGCAGACCTTCGTTTTTCTGTTTTTGTTTTTGTTTTTGTTTTCTCCAGGAGTGAGGTGGAAAAACCATAGATCACCTTCTTGGATTCTTATTACCTAAGTTACCAAGAATACTGTGAGTAGTATACAGAGAACTTAGCCAATGAGCTGTAAGAAAAGATGTTTCCTCGATAGCAGAGGCACAACTGCTGGCCCTCTGTCTCCCAGTGAGGGCAGGCCTTCCAGTGTGTTGTGTCTCTGCTCCAGGCCCATCTGCACACTTATTCTTCTCCTGAGCTAGTTGTAACTGTTATGGCATCCTAGCTAATTTGCATATTACTTCTCTCTTTATGTATATATCCAAGGTAGATGTAGCCATGCTTCTCTCTAAAGCATGTTTCTTTTCCTCTTTTTATTATTTAAGGTAATGTGTAATACAAGCATTTCCCAAAACCCCCTTGTTAGAAAGTTCTTAGTCATTCATGGCTACTCCCCAAATTTCCAACCTAAAAATGTTCTGCTATTTTTTTATACTTATATATAATCTTAATGTTATCCACTTTTCTTTAAACCACTTCCCTAGTTGTTCCCTTCAGCATCTTTTTTGTGTGTGTTCTACCTGGTTTGCCAGCTTAATTTTACCTCCTTGAATCAATCTTCTATCTAACAATATGAGTGATATAGCATGTCATGCCCTAAGTAAAATCATTAAATGCTTCCCCATTGCCCAAGCTCCTTAGATTCCTTAACCTCTTATCACATTAGTCTTTGATTCATTTTTGGAGACCAAGTTCCAAAAAAACACATGTCTGTTTCTCTGGCATATGATCTTGATGTCTTTGTTCACTCTGAAATCTGCTGCAATCTTAATGCTAGCCCTTTCTCTGCTTTGCAATCTGTCTCTCCAGTTCATACTGTCAGCTTTTCTTGACTCTTCTTTATCATCTTTTTGGTGAGGTGTGCTCTTGGAAGCTTTTGCATATTTCTATTACTTCAATTATACATCATGTGATATATGTGTTTAGATGCATGTTTATTTCTATGATTCTGAGGTAAACAATAATTTTAAATCTTCATGCCTAGCAATGTTCTTGGCACACAGTAGTGGAGTAATCTATTGAAATGTTTTCAGTGATAAATGATTGTCCTGATGGTGCTCAATAAAATTTATTATATTAATTTCTATGGCAATAAGAAATTATCCTGGAAAAACACACACACAATAATATAACTATTCTATTAAATAAATTACTTTATATAAATATATATATATATATTATTTAATAATTTTGTGTTGAGAAAGCAGTCATGTGGGAAGCAAAAATATGTCTAGAAGAATGAACTTTTAGAAAGAAGGGATCTTTGATTCCAGTAGAGGTATGCATATTTTAATATTAAAGTTTCTTTTATTATCAATAATACTTTGGTGTTCTGTTTCCCCAGTTTAATTTGGTTTAATGACATATTGCCAGAGATTCAATTTTCACAGTTGTATTCTCTTCCATAGAAACAAAATTATTCCCAGGGTCTATGTTTTCAATAGCTATTATGTGTTTGTAGATATTCAGCTAGTCTTACTCATTATTCTTTATCAATGCGAACAACTGGATGCATTTTTATCATCCTGGTTTGATTTAGATGTGCAATTTCTAAATAAAAGCCATTAGTGTTTTATAGATTAGATGACAAGAAAAGAAAATTCCACACACAAAAAAGCATAATTGGAGCTGTCAGATTTGTCATATCCTTACTGTATATGCCATGGAATGCATCAAAGAATCACCAATAGTAAAAAACTTAATCTGAGTATATATAATATACATATATAGTTATATAATATTATTGAAATTACAGTATTTTCTTCACTGAAACGGTTTCCTGAAATATTGTTTTTAGCTATCATGACCATTGCTATAGTCATTAAAATTTCATTATATATTTGCAGCTAACTCTCAATTTAATCTAAGCCTTATTTATTTTCTATATAAAAACAAATAAAAATAACATTAAATTTCTCTGACTTTGTGAAAAATAACTGAAATGACAATACTTTATAGAGATACATTTTGCTAAAGTATATACAATTGCATCATGTAAGATACAGACAGCTTAATTGAGAATTGATTATACAGCTTTCATTATTATAAGAACCTATTTTATTTATCTTCAGGGAACAAAATACACAAGTGGAATTTTTTTAGAAATAGATTACATTTACTCCAGGCAAATTGTTTGATAGACTATTATTCAAACATACTCCTTCACAGATGTTAATCAATAAAGGAAAAGGGCATTTCCTCTTTATAAAACAGCTTTTACAACTAAAGAAAACCTTAATCATCTGATTTTGGGGGTAATAATATCAAATAATTTCTGAATATCAATATTCTAATGCTTTAACCCTATGCTTATGTGCCACAAGCAATCTATCTGCAGAAATGACTGTTTTCTTACCTGAAATGAAGTAATTGGATATATATTGACATGAGCCTCATTCCATCGTTGTCCTTTATTCCCACTTGAAGACCATAGTGGATTCTCCATTGTTGTCTGCCCTTTCAAACGTAGATAAACATTCAAAACACCTAAAAATAACAATGACATTTTATTTTATATATTTGTTTTTGCTCCAAATATGTTTCTTCTTGATCAAATGCTTTAAAAATAAAATTTTGCGGAACATCCTAGTGTCTCCTCCTCTCTTCCACTCTCGTTTCCAATCTCGCTCCTATTGGCATGTGTGGCAGACCTCCAAAGATGACAGTACCCAAATCCCTAAAACCTGTGAATGTTACTTTATCTGACATTGCAGGTTTTGCAGGTGTGATTAAGTCCAGGATCTTGGATGGAAAGATTATTTTAGACCATCTGGTGGGTCCTAAGAGTAATCACATATATCATTGTAGGATGGAGGCAGAAGGAGATGTGATGCAGGGGAGAAGGTCACGTGAAAGGAGGAGAAGGTGCTCTGCAGCTTCATCTGAAGATGGAGAAGGATCCACAGCTGAGCACAGCAGTCTCTAAAAGTTAGAGAGGGCAAGGAAACCCATCCTCCCTGCAGCCTTTAGAAGGAACCAGCCCTGTGAACACTCTGATTTTAGCCCATCAGACTCATTTTAGATTTCTGTCCTCTGGAACTGTATGATAACAAATTAGTGTTCTTTTCAGCCACAGAGTTTGGGGTAAGGTATGTGTTTCAATAGCAATAGGAATAGAATAGCAATGTAGTCATGTACTGACTTGACTGACTTACCTGAAGTCTGATTGTAATCGTGTCTAATATTACCAGTTAGCAACTCTTTTTAAGTTTACTTTATCCAAGTCCCATTTTTCTTCTAAAAGATATTTGAAATAAAAAAAAATAACTTTGCCTCATGATTTGATATACTTCTTTTAACAGTGTCATGTCCTGCCGAAGCCGGTTTGGCTCAGTGGTAGAGCGTTGGTCTGCGGAATTAAGGGCCCCAGGTTTGATTCCAATCAAGGGCATGTACATTGGTTGCAGGCACATCCCCGGTGGGGAGTGTGCAAGAGGCAGCTGGTCGATGATTATTTCTCTCTCATTGATGTTTCTAGCTCTCTATCTCTCTCCCTTCCTCCTCTCTGTGAAATATCAATAAAATGTATTAAAAAAACAACGTCATGTCCTGCTCATAGTAATAACAGTAATGATTATGATATATGTGTTGAATACTTGAGGTAAAAAATTAATCCTCTCAACATTCCTATGATGTTCTTACTATTACCTCCATTAGAGAACATTACTCCAGGGTATCCTTCTAACTACTATGAAAGAGCCTTCTGATTTCCTTCATTTGCCAGGGATATTTATGAGGTCTCTTTAATATGGCTTAAACTTCAATATTCCCTAATGCTCTTCGTAAGGACTCCTTGACCTCCCCATCTCTGTCCTGTTGTCAACTACATAAGCTGCTATGCTGTAAGCATTGACCTTTTCCTAACTTAATAGAAGAACAGACTAGACTTCTGGCAAAGACTCATGGGGAACCCCATATAAACTTCTTGAGTCAACTCTGCAAACCTCCCTTCTTTCTGTTAATCAGATTCACGGATTCTAACTACTTCAGCTGCCGAGCACTTTGATCTCTGCCTTCTGGACACAATGGAGTCTCCACATTCTGCTCAAATTTCAGGACCCTGTGCAGGCACAGGAAACTGTTCTCAGGCAGAGAACTGGACTCCTGTAGAGATCTCCTCATTCCCATTATTTTGTACATCTCAGTCTTACCCCGCTTCTTTTCTAAGAAAATGATTTTTGAAAACAGGTACTTAATAGATTTCCCCCATTTCCATAGTTGTTTATGACAGTAGAACCTATCTGGAAAAAGTTACTACTGTGTGGCTTCAGATGCCCTAGTATTGATAACTTTTGTATTACTACTTATATGTTTATAGACATCTTCCTTAGTATATGTATTTGTTCATATAAATATTGCATATAAATAGTGAAAAGCAGAACATATAATATAAAAGTCACCATTAAATTGATAATTTAGAGGTAGTCTCCTTAATATTTTTGTGTATTCCTTCAGTTATTTTTAAATGTGTGTTTTTTATAGTATATGGTATACAGTAGTTTATCTTTTAGATTTTGATGCAATTTTGTATAATTGTTCTTACAGAATATCACACATTCATATTATACACATATACAGAAATATGAATACCCATTTTTGAAATGACAACAAAAAGTGCATTCTTCACATCATAGCTGCCACTTACTAGCTGGTTGACCTTCACTTAGTCACTTGATCTTTCATCTCAGTTTTCTTTTCAGGTAAGTGATGGTGATAATCATAATCAATAAAGTGTCTTGTAAGAATTAAACTGAGTTAAAGTATGTAATAATTATTGCTCATTCATAATCTTCATGATGTCTTAATATTAGCTATCAAGATATTAAATAACATTTCTCTCTATTGATGCAATATATTTATCTTAATACATTTCTTAATATTGAATGATGACTATTACAGAAATACATTTCCTTAGGTAATGAACTGCCACTCTCTTATCATAGTTGATTCAAGTTGCTAGTATTCTATTTGGGAATAATGCATGCATATCTATAAAAATAAAAGTGTAGTATGCTAAATAGACCAGATGTCCTTCTGGAGGACCTTCCGGACAAAGCTGAGACTGCGAGTGCCAAGGCAAGCTGCCGAGGCTGAAAGGGCTGAGCCCCTGGCATGAATTTTGTGCATCACGCCTCTAGTCTATATATATAAAAACCTAAGCAACTGTTACAACCGAATGACCAGAATGACTGGAATGACAGGTTGACCAGTCACTCTGATGTGCACTGACCACCAGAGGGTAGACACTCAATGTAGGAGGTGCCCCATGGTGGTCAGTGCGCTCCCACAGCCGACCTGCTGTGGCTGGCCAACCATTTGTGGTCCTTCCCCTTGGCCAGCAGGCCCCAATTGGCCCACCTCTCACTCACTGTGGTGGTGGCACAGCAGCAAGGGAAGGAGAGGGGAGACAAGGAACCACACAGTGGTGGGGCACCAATGTCAACATTGGCTTCTGATCTCCGTTTCTTCTGCTCCTGGCCCAGCAACCATTGCCTCCTCTCCCGACCCCTCTGGAGCCTTTGGGTACCGGTCTGGAATAAGGAACCGGGGATATGTGGTGGTGAACGTGGCCCCTTTCCTGGGAGGGTCAAGGGCAGGCTCCCTCCTTGGGGCCAGTGGCCAACCTCTTGCACCCTGTTCCTCCCCTGATTGCTAGCCAGGGCTAGGGACTCTACCTGTGTATGAATTCATGCACCAGGGCCTCAAGTTCATAAAGAATAGTCTCCACTGTACTTTTTGTTTTGTCTTTCTACAATATGTTACATGTTCACTTTTTGCCTCAGAATCTATTATTTTCTATCATTTTTTCCCTAATGTAAGTAATAATTTTTGGCTTATCTTCCATAGTACTGATTTTATTTTCCACAGTGTGGATTCTAATCTTTTGCCTCTAATTTATTTGGTTATTATATTATTTATGATGTTGTCTTTTTTTCTAATCTCATCAAGCTCCCCTTTATTTTAGTCATTTGTCCAGTTTTTTCTTCTCTTCAGTCTATTTTTATATTATTCTTATCTTTTATTGTTTCATAAAGCTAACATTCATGTGTATTTTATTGAAAATATAAAGCATGTTGTATACAAATTTTCCTTTCACCTGAACAGTCAGTATGCCTTTTTCTTTTCCTTTTTAAAATTAAATTTATTGAGGTGACATCAGTTCAGTATGCCTTTTTCAACATGTTTTCTTCCTTTACTATGGGCATATTAACCTTGTTTTGCACTGTGGATTTTTTAAAATTTTCATCCAAGGATATATTCACTGAATTTAGAGAGAGGAGAGGAAAGAAAGAGAGAGATGAGAGAGAAATGTTGATCTATTGACTCTGCTTTTCACCCCAACTGGGGACTGAAACTGCAACCTATACATATGTGCCATGACTGGGAATTGAACCCATGACCTTTTGGTGTATGGGACAACACTCCAACCAACTGAGCCACGTTGATATGAGCTGAACTGTGGAATTTCATTAGACCCTTATATTCTCTCTCTTTTACTCTCACTCTCATTTTCTTTTGCTTTATTTGTAAAGTAATGCTAAGTAGTCCTGTGGCATTTTTAAAAAATTACTCTTGGAACTTCTTTTTTATACACAAAATAACTTAGATTTTGTTAGCTCCTCCTCTAAGATCTAAAGCTGTAGGGCAAGTTAACTAAGGTTTCACTGTTACTTCTATTCAAAAATCTGAGAGTAGTAGAAAAGCATTTATGCCTTTTGGTCCTTTAAGAGTTGAAATTCCTGGTATTTTCCCACTGTGTGGGTGAGTCATTGTGGCAGGGAACAGATTTCTGACACCATCTCTCTTTCCCTTTTTAGGAACTAGGTGTGGCTCAATTTTTCTTGCTTGTTGGTGCTGGTGCCTTGTGCATTAAAAAGGCAACCATGTGCCAAAAGGAAAAGCCACTATAGAACTTATTTCTGGATAATGTAATTGCATTCTATTTTTGGAAATTAATCCATAACAGGGAGGAATTACAATAAAATCAAACTCAAATAAATAAAAAATGTGTTAAACTCTAAATAAAGTAATACTTTTTTATTGAACATATATGCCATCAATGTGTTAGCATATTCTTTTCAGAAATTATTTGAAGAAATAGTCTATGCATTAAAAAGGAGAACTCCTCTATTCTATGGCCTCTGTCTCTTACAGCCTAGGTTGGATTAATGGAAACTGACTGGTTTGGACTGTGATATTCTCTACAGATTTCTCCTTAACACTTTACTGCTTTCCAGAAGGGACATATTAGTTATCTTTTTTCCTTTTTTTCTTTTTGGGGTTATTTCTTAAACATAATGCCTTATCTTCTCTACCTAGTAGAAGTCCTACAATAGCTTGCATTTAATTAATGAAAGATGACCTCTCTAAACTATCAAGGTAATACAAGTTGTTCCATATAAAAATCACCAATAGCTACTTTAACAAATGTGAGGTGCTAATGTAAATTGATGTCAGTGAATTGCTATTCTATGGAAGTTTTATTT